GATCCTAGACAATTATGAATCCACAGCACTTTTGGTTTGACAGCTGGTAATGATGAACTCAAAATAAATTTGTTTGCACACTATACTTATAAAAATCAGGATAGAAAAAAAAAACCTGCCATTACAGACACCTCTTTGCTCCCTTACTGATCAGGAACCCTGTCTCCTATTTGTCTTTGCAATATATAGTGTTAATACGGTATATCATACAAATGGGACAGACACAGGCTTTGACAAAGCTGCTCATCTAAGGCATTCATTGTTGCACTCGCTTGTTCAAACAAAAAGATTTCAATAAAGTCAGGCATATTTTGCCAAAAAAACTACTATTCTCAGTCATAACATGACACAAACCACAACGCACAAACGTTTTACACATATTACTGGAATCAGTGGGGCGTACACGTTAAGTGGTCAATCGTGGAAAAATATTCATCATCTGCTTGGGAATCATATTTTAAAAAGTGCTTTTTGCAGCTTCAGATTTTCCCCCGTAATCATAATGTTTATATGTTGCCTCAGCATCGCATGTAATCCAGGTGACTGTCACTATTTGTTGTCTCAAATAAAGGGAGTTAACACTGAGGGTAAACAGCCTGGAGTTAACCTACAAGGCTCAACACCAAGACAAGTCATCCAAGTCTGACTTTAATACCACTGACTGTGTTCAACCTGTGACTATGATTGGGGTTAGAGGGCAAAGACTGCAAACTGAACAGGGCCAGAGGGCAGCCCAGTGTTTCCATTAATAGAAGGCCTTTCTATAGCCAGACTAATAGCTTTGCAACATCCCAGCTCCCCATGGACAGTGAACACTGAGCACACGTGGTCTAAATGTCACTCTGCAAGGTTCCATCATTTATGAGAAACCATTTTTTCCCCAGAATACACTAACCTCAGGCTCGCTCTATCACATACTCCCCATCTCAATTTCTTTACACTTACATTGTCAAGGGAAGTGACCAGGAAACAGACACATGACATTACAGGGGGGCCTGCTGGGTTTTTTTGGCAGAGGTACAACCTACAGCCACCTGTTCAGCCCCCAGAGTGAGTTTTTTTTTTGTTTGTTTTGACACGTGCAAACAGTAACGTGATGACATGTTTGATGAATAGGGAGGGCGGTCTTGTATGATGCGAAAGTGAATGGGGGGAGAGGAGGGAGGGGGGACGCAGACGCAATAATGCACAAACTGACAGATTGGATCCTTCTGTGTCCCCAGTGTGGGGGAAACCATGTCCTTACATCTCGCGTGCTGCTCACTTGAAATTAGAAAAGTAGACATCAGGCCTCATCATCATCATTTATTAATAGTTGAGCAGGAGTAGATGGTAATGTAGATGATAATGTTCTATGTTCACTGGGATTCCTACTACTTTGTATAATCTTTATAACTCTAGCACAGCTAAATCAAATCAAATTTTATTTGTATAGTGCCAAATCACAACAAAAGTCATCTCAGGACACTTTACAAAGTAAGGTCTAGACCGTACTAGCTACTGGCATTATTAATAAGTGGCTTCATATAAATTCATTCCATTTATTTTTAAAAGCAATTTGGTAGAAGGCAGACTTTGAAAACTCAGAGGAATCATTTAAGAGCCAGGCACACTTTGAGTGGCTCGACAAACAATGTTGTTTCCCAGGTTTTCTGCATTACTAAGTGTTTATAAGAAACTGCCACTAATTGGAAATGTCAGTGAAATTCACATGGCTCATAATAAGAGGTGCTAACAGTCCACTTAATTAAATTATTCACTCCTAACTACAGCCAAACAGTACTAGAATACCATCTATAATCTGAGCAATAGAATACTGCATGTCTTATGATCATCACTCTGATCATTACTGTAATTAAGTGGGTCACTTGCATAACAATGACATCTATAGGTGAATGGAATCCCTTTTGACCACAAAAAAACTTGATTATCTTGTTTACACTGGACAGACCTGCTCCTGAGTAATGCTGAGATTTCAGATATGTCACCTTTACAAGTTACAAGTACAACTTGTACTTGAAAGAACCAACAGATCCGGGATCATGTCCTCTCGTTATCAGGACCAAGCTTTTATTATCCAGCAAAAACATGTTCAAGGACAGGTGTCTCCAGTAAGTGTACTGCCTACTAACCAAACAGCCTTAAAGTCCATGTTTGATGTTTTTACAATCTGCAGAGATGCAAGGCCAGTCAGGTAAATGTACGTTGGGGGGGGGCTGGGCTTTCAACAAGGCAGCCTGCACCTGTTAATCACTCAACATCCACCAGAGGTAAACATTCAGCTCTGTGTGCAGAAAGGATCATTGTGCAAAATGAAACGTATAGTGTGTCATTCAGCAGTTGTGGCATGAGATAGATTTATACCATGTCCATTTAGATTCCCATTAGCTACAGCTTAATAACAGCTACTCCTCCTGGGGTCTCTAAACGGACATGCGTTTCACTTATAATATCTAGCATTTTCCACTCTGTGGGTATAAAGAGTTAAATACCACTCTACCCACCCTGTACTGGCCTTTATTAATGAACACAAGTATAAACAGGTACTGTATAATATCCAGAATAAAATCTACTTGAGGATATTTCAATAATAAAACTCTCTGCTTCCACAAATTACATTTTTAAAGATAAAATGGGGTGGGTGAAGATGTGAGAATAGCAGCTCACTCCTACTCAGCAGATAGATACATAAAATAAGACACACACACGTTGTGTTTCCATAATTTCGGGGGGAATTACACTGACTTACGTTCATTTCCTGGAGACTCACGCTAATGCTAGCTGCCTAACCATACACTTGCCCTAACCTTAAGCCAACACCCTAAAACTTAATGACTTACGGCCCCACAAAGTGAGTAATACCAGTCATGAGAGCACACACACAAAGCCACACCCAGCCATGATGTTACTGTGCAGTAAAATTCTCTTCCAAATGATCTAGAAATAGGCTTTAATGTGGCCCCTGCACAGGCTGACATAAAAACACACATCTGGCCTGTTTAGGCAAGCTGCAGTTGCCATGGTGACAGACGAGCACACACTAAACAGTTGTTGTCAAGCCATCCAGACAGAGCACTTGAGCTGCATGCACATACACACACACACACACACACACACACACACACACACACACACACACCCACACACACACACACACAAATAAATGAGATGAGAGGAGCGTTGGTGGTTCAAAGTAAAAAAACAAGGAAATAGAGCAGATGCCACGCTGCTGTTAGCAGTACATGGCTGTTATCTTTTTATTATTTTATTAAAGCATGCATATAATTCAGCTGAATGGTCAGAATGACCCAGAATAGAAGACAGTCTCAAACTTTATAGGCACAGCATGGACCAAAAATGATGTTATGAACTAAAGATGATGATTGCCCAGACAGCCAAATGAACACGTTTCATCCTGAATGCGCAACTTAGAAATTTTAACTTCCTATTCTTGAAGTCTGACCTTTATTTTCTAGTGCACTCCCCAAATACTGCCGCCTCACCCTGTGAAAGTTTTGCTATTACAAGACAGAAATACACTGTAAATATTGAATGCAGCCATATACAGTATCTATATATTTAGCAGTTAATTACCTTTAATTAAGGCACTTGCCTCGACATCACCATTAACTGACACTAGCGTCCATGCCCAGGAAAAACAGAGAAGATGCTGTGGGGACGAGGCGATTTCCGATTTCAGCCTGAGTCATCGTGTGACATTTGGAGGAAAATGAAGAAAATGTGTTGTTTATAGGACAAACCAAGAGCAAATCAAGTGTTTTATCCCATTCCTGGTATTCATCACCACCTTGCAGAAGCTTGCAGCTACACACATCATCCTAAAAAAGCACAGTGTTTCATTTCATAATATTTTAAATGACAGCAGCCACCAGGAATGCTGTCACATAAAATTATATTTGTATTTTTATGACTAAAGCACTTGATATGAAGTGTTTGTCACAATGAGAGAGTGGATAGGCTTATAAATAAATCATTTTTGTTCACAACAACTATGGATAGATTTCAGATAAGATTTCAGTTTTAAAAGTAGCTGGCACCATAAAGACTTATCCTTACAACATGGTCAGTAGCTCTGTTTTCCAATTTTTGTTTTATGAACATGAATTAAGCTTGTTCCCCATTAAACCACAAACCGTGAGTGTAGCTGCCCACCTAGCATTCGTGACTAACATCTTCCACATGCTGAGACAAATGGCAACACTGCACCATATTTAAGTGGGTGGATGAAAGTGGGAATAAACCCCATGCACTGTGACAAGCCTTGGTATGTCACCCCCCCTCAGTCCTACTAGCACCGCCATGCACTTATAGCCAAAATCAACCACTCTGTAATAAAAATCAGAAACAACCAAGGGGAACCTCCACCATATCAACACTCTCTCACTAGATGCTTAGATCCCATCTCATAACATGTGACCAAAGAGGCATGTGTTCTCCACATGACACTGTCAACAGACACACCAGGTGTCATGGCAACCACTTGACCTGACCAAATGCAATTGGTAAATGGTACTTTCCCTCCACCCTCCCTTCTGGATGCATCTCTGTCCACTGTCTAAGGGTATTATGGGGTATATGACCTTAATACACTGTATAAATCTCTCCTTTTTGCTGCCCTGCTTGCTTTGTTTTGATATTTCTGCCTTCCTGTGTGAGAGATGCAATTCAGAACAATATATTTATACGTCAAAGAAGCAGGAATAAATTCAAGGAACATTCTTAATTTGTGACTTGTGAGATCCTCCCGAGGAGTGTTTTCTGGCTGGTCTAACTACTAATATTTTTCACAAAGCTTCCTCAGACACAAATGCACTATGAGGGGTGTTTAAGCCAAGTGCCTGGCTGTCATGATGGAGGTCTGAGGGTGACCATGATATGCTGTCATGCTGCACCTCACTGACATCTTAACCTGCTACATATAGGCTAAAGTAAGCCAAGATATCAATCAACTGAAAATTGATGACAGAGCGTGAACTCACCAGAACTCTTCCCGTTAGTGTCTGAGCAGATATCATGACTCCAGCCCAATCTTTGACCGAGGTCATCCAGCCCACCTCATTGGCCGCCCCATCGTCCTTGTCAGCGCGTTTGATGCCATCGCCTGTGGTGATGCGATGCACCTCCTGAAGTTAAAAATAAAATACAGAAGGTGACATCAGACAGTTCAACAGAGTTAAACAGTACATGACCCATTTAGAAACTGCAAGTACAACAAATACTTGATTCAAAAATAATTACATCTTCATTATAACAGCACTGCCCTTGAACATCAACCTACAGCCACTACATGAACCATATATGGTTAATGATGTGAACATGAAAGCATGCAAACACAGACCACAGGTTAATGTAAATCTACATCAACCGAAGTGGAACCTGCTCATAAAAAACACCGGAACCTGAAAGGACTAGCGCAAATAGCGGTGCCAGTGACATCGTCAACTTTACTCCTCAGGGTGCTCAGACAGGGGAATGATAAGGTTACAAAGATGAAGCAGCAGTCCAAAGACGTTTCAGTCTAACGGGCTCAGAATACAGTTGTGGCTTGAACTTAACAATGATGAGATGAGCTGCTTGATTTGTAAAATGTACAGTGCTGCACCTTTTTTACCTGCCAATGTTACAAAACTTCAACTTGAAGTCACAATTTGGCTTTGAAAATTTCATTTCAGTGCTTGGCCCTCACCAAGGGCAGTTTTTTCAAGTTAAAGTGGAAAGTGGAGGAGACAGAGGACAGAGGAAAAATAGAGCATTGGTGACGAGAGAAAAGGGAGCCACCAAAAGAAAGACTAAGGACACTGATGCAGCTCAAAAGAGGAGAAGGAGAAAGAAACAAATTACAGTAATGGTTCAGAGAACTCCGGGTATGAAGAGGACTAGGTAAGACCTGCAGTTAAGTTCACAGATATTTCCTCCCCTCCAAAAGTATAGAACCCCCCTTA